CGGGCCCGGGAGGGATGGGGCAAAGAGGGCCGTGGTTCAGAGGGAAAGGGCAGTGTGTCCATAGGTGGTTCGGGAAGGCTTTTGGGATGTTAGAAAAATGTTTTCGCCCTTAGGTTGTTCAGGCGCTGCCCAGGGAGGGAGTGGAGGTGTGTTCAGAGGTGCCTGGGGCTGGCGCTGGAGGATATGGTTTAGGGGTGACAGCGGTGGCAGGTTAAGGGTTGGACTTGACCATTTCAGAGGTCTCCTCCAACCTGAATGATTCCATGGTTCTCACAGTGTCTGCAGTGGTTTCCAGCCAGACCCAGCGAGCAGGAAGCTTTGCCTCGTGGGTTTGTCTGGTTCTGAGAAGCTGTGTGAAGGAGAAGGGGAATGCCCCAGGAAAACCCTGCGATGCTCAGGCCTCTGGATGAAGGATTTCTCCTCTGTAGCAGATGTGAAGGATGCAGTGTTTGTTTCTGAGTCATAGAATCTTAAGGGGTTGGAATGGACCTTAGAAATGATTCAGTCCCACCCTCCTGCCCTGGGCAGGGACACCTCCCACCAGAGCAGGAGGCTCTAGGCTTTACTCTGCCATGCAGGGTTGGGGCAGCCACAGCCTCCCTGGGCAACCTGTGCCAGTGTCTCACCACCCTCACAGGAAAAAAAACTTCTGCCTAATATCTAATCCAAATTTCCTTCTTTCAATTTATACCCTTTACTCCTTGCCCTATCACTAGAGCTCCAGAGTTAACAGGGAGAGGAGGTGTGCTTCCCCAAAGACTTGGCTGAGGGAAGGTGCTGGGAGCCCCAGCAAGGAGCAGGATTTGGGGGAGGGGGAATGGGATCAGCTTTGCTAGGGCTTGGACACAGCAGCTCTGTGAAGAAGAGGCTGCACAGCTTGTGACCCTGAAGGAGGGACACTGCAGGGTGTGGATGCCTGGGGCAGACAGCAGAACCAGTTTCCTTCCAGAGCCAGTTTGCATCTCCTATCAACTCCCAGTTTTGAAACAGACTCCCCAAGAAGTCAGAAGTAATGTCAGCCTGGAGCCCTTCCTGAACCTTTGGTTCCTGCCTAGGAGCAGCTGATGCAGAGTCAGAAAACTGAGCTCCTTTGAGCTGTCTCTGGTGGAGGAAACCACTTAGAGAAGCATAAAGCCACTTTTCAGGTCCCCATCCCATGAATCAGCTGTGGAGAGGGGTTCAGTGGCTGGAACAGACATTACTAATGCTTGCCTGGATCTTCTGGGGAATATTGCATTTAATTCATGGTTTTCCTGGCATGCAGCTCATGGAGCAAAGACACTGGAGTGTGTAACCCCACACTGGGGTCTGGCAGGCAGAAATCACTGAAGAGTGATTGTGACCACTGTTGCTAATAACTGTTTTCCAGCAACCACTGCTTGGTAATGAATTTTATCAGACACAGAAGGGATCCAGCAGTAGGATCAAGACAGTAGAAATCTTTCCATTTGGCTTACTGGGATTAATACCACATTTATTAGAACAAAGAGAGGTCGTTGTTTTGGTCAGGCTTTGGCAGGAGGGGATTATCTCACTGCTTAAAGCTAGTTAGTGTTTAAGTCTAAAAATACATTTGCAAAACAACAGAAATTTGCTGTATATATTTCATAATGAAGAGCTTTCCTAAACTGTTGTGGATTGTTTGGTACAGATGGAAATTGTGGTTTAAGAAAACAGCAAATCCATGTGATTTGCAGCCTTCTTAATGGAATGATTACATAATGTCTATAAAGTGAATAATTTCTCTTCTAGGACTTTGTGGAGATTGGGATACTCTGCCAGACTACTGAAAACACATCATTTTAGGACAGCTGTATCAAATAGATCATTTCCAGCAGTTTGGATGCCGTTGGCACAATCTCCTGGCAGAATACCTGAGCTCTTTGTAGTAGCTCAAAAAAATACTTTTTCTACCATGCCTGAAATCGTGGAGGATAAAGCTAATCCAGAACTGTACTCCCCACATCCCGGAGTGCGTGGGATGACACTGCTGAACAGGGAGGCTTTCAGAAGGACAGTTGTTGTTCCAGCTCTGAAAGTCAAGAAGGAAATTGTGAACAGTGTGCTGAAGTCCCTGAAACAATCCGTGCTGCAGCGACCCGGCCTGAAGCGAGTGGTGGAGGATCCAGAAGATGAGGACAGTAGACTTGTTATCCTGGATCCTCATAAGATACTGGAATTCTCATTGGGAGAATCAGAGCAGCAGGTACTAAAAGAGCTGAGTGTTGATCCTGAGGTGTCCAGGTATAACTTGGAGCTGACTTATGAGAACTTCAAGTCAGAGGAGATCCTACGAGCAGTCCTTCCCCAGGGGCAGGAGGTCACCTCGGGATTCAGCCGCGTTGGCCACATAGCTCACTTGAACCTCAGGGATCACCAACTGCCCTACAGACATTTGATTGGTAGGTAAAACAGCTCCTCCAGAAACTCATTTGTGTATCCTGTGTGTTGTGAAACACATATTTGAACAAGTATTACTTACACAAAAGTTTTGAGCACTACCCACTGCTTTTGATTTTGGCTTTGAGTAGCCAAATGCCCTGAAGGCACAGTTCTCAGCTCTTACAGTGTCCTGGTCTCCCCTCACTGAGCATTTCCTGTTGTTAATTTGACTGTAAAGAGCAGTGGTTTTTGTGGCTGTTGTAGAACGTTACAGGCTGTGATCCCTTCACTGAAATATCTTTCATCCTTTCTTTCAGGGCAGGTTATAATGGACAAGAATCCTGGAATCACCTGTGTAGTGAATAAGACCAACATCATTGACAGCACATACAGGAATTTTGAAATGGAAGTGCTTGCTGGAGAGAGCAACCTGGTAACCAAGGTAAAGCCTTCTCCCCCTGATACTTTAATATGTTAAATCCCAGAGGCATCTTCTGGAAAGAGGGGATGCAGGGATGCTGTTTAGACCATTCCTTTGCTGAGTGCCCTTCCTGACACCTGTCTAGGGGTTAGCTGTCACTTGTCATTCATTTGTCCTGGTCTGCCGAGGGCAAACCCAGCCATGGGGATCATGAAGACAAATATTTCAAGTCCCCAGCCTGGATTTAAGGGTGTGTAAAAGCAGCTGCTGTAAAGGTTTCTTACAGAGATGCTAATTACACACCTGTAGTGGGAAGTGTTTCTCACTTAAAACCAAAAGATTCAGTGGATTTGATCTAAGAAAATGCAGTTCCTTACCGTGACCAGACCTTGTGCAGTGGCTGGTGTAGAGCCTAAGAGCATGATTTAAACTTCACTGGCTTTGCAATTGAGGCAACACTTTGCCTTTTTCCTTTTCTGTCAGCAGCAAGACAAACCTCCTCTCTCCTCTGTTCTGACATTTATCAGGTGTAAAGCACTGTGGAACTGCCAAGATTTCTTCTTGTCTGTGGCTGGAAACTTGGCCACTGCTTCAACAAAAATATTTTCCCTAACTGTTTGCAGTTTTATCCTTTCTGAAGAGAAAACATTCGATTACCAAATAAAAATGTTGAATAGCTTGGTAGAACATCCTGTACATGCAGAGAGGAGGCAATTGGATTGTCAGGGCAGCAGTGACAATCAGATACTGTGCAGATGGTGTTAGCTCTTCAGGCAGACACCTGGCACACAGGGAGCAGCACCCAGCAGTGCACACACACTGCAGGATGTTTCCTGCTGGCAAAGCGAGCGACACGGTGACTTGGATCCAAAGTTACTGCACTTCAGTCACACAGTTCCAGTGTGGTGGTGCAAGGAGAGGATTATCTTGCATCCCATTCTCATCTGAATAAATACTGGTTCTTTTCCGGCCTGTTCTTGAGATAGTGGTCATCCCAAAGTTTGGGTTTGGCTCTGTTTCCAGACTGTCACCTTGAGAGATGAAATAGTGTGTTTCAGACTGCAGAGCTGGCTCCCAATGGCTTTGGCTTTGGCTGACAGTTCCTGCTCTTGTGCTGTATTGCTCTCAGACGCTTATTTACTGTGTGGATCCACCAAGGAGGGCTCGAGGCATCTTCCCAAGCTCTGCTTTCAATAAAGGAGTTGTCAGCCAGCCACAAAGCTCATGAAAAGCCTCAGTGTTTTTTACAGTCATTTAAAGTTGTTGCTTTATTTCCACCTGGTGATTGAGACAGGGGTAAGCCAAACATAAGGACTGACAGTGGGACATTCCTTATGGCTGTTCCTGATGAGCTGGTCTGTTTTCACAAGGTTCATGTGTGCTACCAGTGGGACAAGTGGCCATGTACACATTGCCTTTTGATATGGCACCTTGGGTTTTAGCTGTCTTAATTACTGATAATGCTTCAACACTATGTTTAAACATGATCATGCCTGGCATTTGGACACGGAGGCTTAAACAAATGTTTTGGGCTTTCAGGTCAAAGAAAATAACATTGCATATGAGCTGGACTTCTCTAAGGTGTACTGGAACCCAAGGCTTTCCACAGAGCACGGCCGTGTCGTCGAGCTGTTACGGCCAGGCGACGTCCTGTTCGATGTCTTCGCTGGGATCGGACCCTTTGCCATTCCAGCAGCAAGGAAGAAGTGCCACGTGTTTGCAAATGATCTCAACCCTGAATCCTACCACTGGCTCCTGCACAACTGCAAGCTAAACAAAGTAGAGAACAAAGTAAAAGCTTTCAATATGGACGGCAGGGACTTCCTCCGGGGGCCAGTCAGGGAAGAGCTGAGTAAAGAGCTCCCACCTTGGAAAGAAGGGCAGAAAACTGCTGTCCACATAGTGATGAATTTGCCAGCTCTGGCTGTTGAATTCCTGGGTGTGTTCAGGCATCTCTTGGTCGGAGAGCCTTGCAGCACTGCTGACCTTCCCACTGTGCACTGCTATGGGTTCTCCAAACATGACAATCCAGCCAAGGACATTCAGGAACGAGCGGAAGCTTCGCTGGGAGCGTCCCTGGATGGACGCTGCTCCACGCACCTGGTTAGGAACGTGGCACCCAACAAGGAGATGCTGTGCATCAGCTTCCAGATCCCAGGGGATGTGCTGTACAAGAGGCCTTGCCCCGATGAAGGTAAGGAACAGCACTCCCACGTGGCACTGGGATTTCAGGCTCCACCTTGTCAGCCCTGTGGGGCCGTGGGACTGCGATGCTGCTGGGCACTGAGCACGGAGGTGAATGGCAGGACTGAGCAGTGCCTGCATGTGTGCAGCAGCTGCAGGGCTCCCTCTGCTCTTGGTGACAGCAGCCTGCTCCTCTGATCCCAGCAGGAGCCTTCACCAGAAAAATGGTGGACTGGATAGGATCACCCCACAGGCAATAAACCAGACCTTTATGCCTTAGGTTGTGTACTGGGAGAGAATGGGGATTCAGTGATCCTTGTGGGCCCTTCCAACAGGATATGCTGTGCTTCTGTGATCCAATGCCAAGCACACGTTTCTGTTAGCCAAACACTTAAGAACTGGTGCTTCACCCAGGGTAGAATGGTGCATTGCTTGGTGCATTCCAAGGGACTGGGCCCAGCTCTGACCTTCTCCCACATGCTCACAGGGACTCAGCGTAGGTCTGGAGTCACCACATCAGCAGAATCAGGTTCTGCGCAATTTAATTGAGAAGTAGATGTCCTGAATTTTGTTGGGTTTCTTTTTTTTCTAATTGGTCATTTGTTTCTTGAAGTACTTGGTTGGTTTCAGTGATCTTGGGCCTTGGGCTACATGACAAGGGGAGAGGGACGAGCCTTCCAGTCTGCAGTTACATGAACTGGAGGAAAGGAAAGTTTGATAAAGATTTAATGCCATGAAACTTACTTTCACACTGCTGTTGGACAGGACTGAGATGTAGGTCAAAATGCAGCTCCATACAGGTTTTTTGGAAGTCCTCTTTGGCATTTAGTAAAGACCTCCCATTACTGCTGTAACAATTTTCATTTGTGACTGTTAATCCTGACTAACTCTCATCTCTTCCTGTTAAATCCCTTAAGTGTTCCAGGGCTTGTGGTTTAGCTCAGTCTGTTTACTATACATTAAATAACTTACTTTTCCTAACCCTTTCCCAGCAAAACCAGCCTCAAAACGTCTGTGTACCAGCCAAGATTCTTCTGAAAAGAAGTCACTGAGCTGAAGACTAGAGTTATGCTGACTACCTTGGTTTGTGTAAAGAGTACTTAGGGTACCTCTGGTTTACCCCTTGAGTTGCTCAGAGCATCCGTGTGTTGCCCATGCACAATTTTGCATGTTGCAGCTTTCCTTTGTGAGCCTTCCCTTCTGCTTCACCTTTGTTTTAAACTGTGGGATCAATGAGCAGATTGAACCTGTTGTTACTACCAAACATTTAAACTTTTGCTCTTTTGTAATAAATGTGTTTTGGTACTTCTCTGCTCTCTGTTGTTTCACACCCTGTGCTAGTTCAGTGACACAGCCTGGGGTGCTTTGCTGCTGTGGCATTTTGATAATGTGGAGTTTATGATAAGAACAGAATTTTATACGCTGTCAGCCCTAGGCAGGTGAGTTGTCTAAGCTCTGCCTGGGATTCTCTCTGACACATGATTTGGTGTTTCAGAACATTAGATTAGGGTTAGCAGATGGACAAACAGCTCTTGTGTAAGCAAGATAACCTTTCAAAAACTTAACCTGAAATACAGAAAGGGCCAAATATCTGCACGTTTGAGTAATAAATGCTTTTTAACACTGAGATTTGGTTAGGGATTTGTTGGCTCCTACCTCTGTGTTTGCCCACTGTTAGGGCTGGAAAGTCTCCAATGCCATTTGCAGATTAAGTACACACTGGGCTGAAGCAGCAGACTGAAACCAGCACCTGAAAACCAGTCCTCTCCTCTCCTCTTGAACCCGTGTCCTCCCGTGGCTCTTGTGCCTCTGCCCTCTCCCAGCTCTCCCCCACCTCCAGCTGCTCCCCTGCTGCAGTCCCTGGATGATCCCTGACGGGCTGCTTTTATTCTGCAGGGATTTGAAAAGCCTCTGCCTTTGATTTCCTTTTCTTACCCATCCAAACCACTGTTGGGCAATGTCAACCACAGTTCAGTTGGCCAGAGCACTCAGCTTGCCCTCTCAGCTCAGTCCAAGCCCCGAGCTCCTGCCCAGCAGCTCCGTTCCCAGATGTCCATCACCTCCTGCCTGTGCTGCCGTGGGGCTGCAGCCCAATGCTTTGGTTCTCACCCAAACACCACTAAGGCCTGGGTTTGTTTTGCTCGTGGCTCTGTGTGACAGCCTGTTCCTTGGCTCCACAGCCAGGGCTTGCAGCAAGCCTTCACAGCCTGGATACTGCTGGATTGCATCTGTCAATCCAGGGGGATGAGCCATCACGACTCACCTGTGCTCTGTTGAATGCTGCTGTACAGATTCCTCCATGGGCCTTTGTGGTGTCTCAGCAGCTCCAGCCTGTGTGTCCTCACCAGCAGCCACAGGCACATCATGTCCTCTCCTCCAGCCACTGCAGTGCTGGGCTCTTGTCCCTGTCCTGTCCTGCTGTCTCTGCTGCCTGTCACGTTTGCTGACACCACTGCTGCTTTCCAGCCCCTGCCCTCTGCCTCTCCCATACACATCTGAAAGCAGCTCCTGTTCTTCAGAGCCCTCCATGAACACTGCTGGAGCAATAAGACCATTCTGGAGTGACACAGTCACCCTGGGATCTCTGCTAACACACCTGACAGAGACTGCAGGAACCTGTGACTCTGTGCATTGCTTCACAGCCCAGATTTGGGGCTGCTTGGCACTACTGGCCCAGCAGAATCCTGGCTTTGATCATCATGTCTGGGTCGAGCAGGTCAAGTACCTAACTCTGATTTTCAACATGTGACTGAAGCATCCCAGGGCAGGGAAGGATTTGAGCTGGTAGAAGTTTTGTCCCCCTAAGGATTGAATGCCAGTGTTATTCCAACAGTGTAGCTTTGGTTTAGAGGGACGTCAGCAGATGATACATGGTTGTGCTCATGACCAGGGGCTTTCCACATTCTTGTGCAGTTGCCGGTTGTGTGTACAACACTTCCAGGTGAAACAGCAAGTTACAACTCTTGTGAGCTGCACACAAGTCAAGGAGTGTATTTAAATGATACCTACTAATCTGCACATGTAGTTCTGCATTCGTTAGGGCAAGACCTGAGGCTTTACGAACTGAGTATGAACGGATCATCAGTGAGGTGCAACTTCTGTGTTCCAGTCTGGCTGAGCCTGGAGTGGGACAGACTCTCCCCAGCTGCTGTTACTCCCTCCCAGGGTCCTGAGCTGAATCCCAAGGACTGCAGGCACGCTGTACCTGGGAGCAGGAGACAGGCTGTCAGGGACCTGTGGCAGAGGGAACAAACTCCCACAGCTTCTGGCTGTGAGGACAGCTCAGTCTTGTATGTGGCATTACCTGTCAGCAGCTGTTCTGGGCACAGCCAACAGGATTTCAGAGGAAGGGCAATGGAAATTCCTCAACAAAAAAAGCACTGAGCCTGGAACAGAGCTTACTCTTCTCTTTATTACAACATAGAAAACATACATTCATTCAGTGCACTTCTCAGAGCAATAACTCTTAACAGATGGCCCATAAGACATGGTCCAAGCTCTCTGTCCTGAGCAGTTTCCCATCTCCTGCAATTTATCCCCACTCATGGCAAAGTTCAGCCCTACCATGGGAATTTCAATTCTGCCATGATTAGCCAACATCCCACTGCAAGGAGAGGGAAGGAATACATAAAAGCAGCAGATCAAGTAGCAAATGTCACCCCTAAAACCAGACAAAGGGATGTTCCTGCCAAAAGAAGCTCCTGAGTGCATGACAGAAAAGTTGCTAGTGAAGTTAAACAGGAGAAAACAAACAGAGAAACACAAAACTAACAAAACCCAAACAGCAATCCCACAATTTTGACTGCTTTAATGGCTTAGCCTTGTATCAAGGCTTCTTAGATTGGTTCTGGAGGAACTCAGCTGAAAGACTTTCAGCTAAGGATGTTTTTCAGATGAAGGTAAGAACCAAGTGACATCCACAAGGATCCTAAATAAGAGTTGTGTCAGCACAGTTCCAAGGTTTCTCCTCTCACATCCAGCTGGCAGGAGGAAAAGCCACTTGTCTAAACTGGGGAAACTAGTTTTATGGGAAGAAAATGTAGGCTTGAATATTGACACTAAATGTTATAATCAAAATGGCATTTAAATGCTTGTGCAAATAAAACCCTGCAATAAGAGTAAAACCACAAACTTTAATAAAAAGGTCTGGCTTTATTTTAAAAAAATTTACAAGTGTATTTCTTTAAACCTCAAACATATACAGCTGAGTTATTCACATCTTCCATTAGATGTGGCTTATTGCTTCAGCCTCCCTCAGCAAAGTGCCACATGACTAACGAGTTTCCCCCTCCACAAAAATGTATCCACCATTTCACAAAGCTCTGGTGCAGATGGGCTTTGTTTCCTCCTGTTCACACTTACACACAGCTGGGTTTGCGCAGAGCAGTGACTGCAGCAAGCCCAGTGTACAGATGGCAGTGACCCTGCCCAACCTTTGCTGGCTTCCTTCACTTCTTGGCCCACTGGGTGTGCCTTGGTCACAGGCTGACACTGGCTAACTGGGGTGCCAGAAGAGACCACTGAAGGCATCCTGCAAGGCTCGGTGACAAGCGAGAGAAGACGTGTAGCCCCCAGCGAGGTCCTGTGGAGAGGCAGCTCGTACGTGGTTGAGATACCTATAGCAAAGAACAGTGTTTTTAGAGCAGGAATAAACACATCCAACACTTGCATAGCTTACAGTATGGTGAGGTCAAGGCTACTTTCTGGGAGAAAGCAGAGACGGAGCTGCCCACGGCCAATCACCTATCATGGAATCAAAGAATTGTTTAGGTTGGAAAAGACATTTGAGATCATTGAGTCCAACCATTACTCACTGCCAACTCCACCACTAACCCATGTTCCTAAGCCAACACATCAGGATAAAACCTCATGAGTTAAAGCAATGACAACACTGATGCACCTTCAGCCAGGCTGCCCCAGCCAAGGCCCTGCAGCAGCTCTGTGAGAGGTGGCACAGGGTAAGGACACTCGGGTTTGAATTCTCTGTGCTTGCTCTGGGGGGGTTCATTTCCTCACTTCCTATTTTCCCTAGTTCTTTCTAAGACAAGGACAGCACCAGTTGTTGTGCTCCAGCAGGAGCAGGAGGGTTTTCAGCTGCCAGTTAATGCCAGACACTCCCACGAGCTACTGTGCCTTTGATGACAACAGGGCTGAGCTTTCTGCTCTCAGGCCTACCCACACCTGGATAAGCCCCCTGATACCTGGGAGTGAGATCTGTGGGAGGCCATCATCAACATTTTGACTAAGGAAGCCTCTAAACTTCTCCATTAATTATGCATCATCATCACCCACTTGCAGAGCCATCTAATTCTACACCAAATCCAGCAGATGGATGAGTTGGTATGGAAACACACTGTCCATGCTGGCACTGCCACAAGCTTTTGGCTCCCCTTAGCTCCTTCTGAGGGCTCCAACCCAGCCACAATGCCAAGAGCTCTCGTCAAAGGTGTCTGCTCAGAGGGGCCTGCATGGCTTAATTCCACACTGTAACCCTACAGCTCCTGCACCCACAGAGTCACAGAATCAGGTAGGTAGGAAGGGAGCACAGTGGGTCATCTGGTCCAACCTCCCAGCTCAAGCAGGGCCATCCTAGAGCACCTGGCACAGGATTGCAGCCAGATGGTTCCTGAATACCTCCAGTGAGGAAGAATCCACAACCTCTCTGGGCACTCTGTTCCAGTGCCCAGTCACTTTCTCAGTGAAGAAGTTCTTCCTTGTATTCAGGTGGAACTTCCTGTGAATCAGTTCCTGCCCATTACCTCTTGTTTTATTGGTTTCCTCCACTGAGAAGAGCCTGATCCATCATCTTGGCATCCCCCCTTCAGATACTTGTATACATTAATGAGGTCCCCTCTGAGTTGTCTTCTTGAGACTGAACAGGCCCAACTCCTCAGCCTTTCCTCGTAAGTGAAGTGCTCCAGTCCCTTAATCATCTTTGTTTCCCTCCACTGGACTCGCTTCAGGAGCCCCAAGTCCCTCACATGGGACAGGTACCAGACCAGATTCTCACCTAGTTTAGCAGCAAATCCCCATCAAACACCAAAGAGATCTCCAGCC